CTCATTTTATTTTTCCGATTTATAATTCAACATAGTAAAAATACTATTGAAAAAATCCTATTTATTTTCGAAATGCGCCACTTATTTGTTAACTTTGAAACCCCCTATTACTGTGATACTCAATTGCAATGATAGATCAAAATAAAGTTTATCTAAAATTTTACAAAAAACGTATCTATAATAAAATTCTAATAATAAGTATAAAAACATCAAGCAATACTTTATTCACTTTAATATTTATAAAGTTTTGATAAGTCGGGGCAATAAGCTTTTGACTGATAATCTCACCGTTCACTTTTCACTATTTAGAATTTTCTTTCACGTAATAAACTACCTTACTTATCTTAATGTAAGCTATCGATTAAAAATACTTTCTGCTAATTAAAATTAAATTCCCGACACATTTTCGACATATTTTGATCCATTGATTGAGACGCCTGAGAACGCCCATTCTGTTGCGATTTTTTGGGGGGCAAAACAGATCTACAATAAACAATATTTAAGCAGACATGTATAGAATGTGGTTTTTTCGGATTTTCCTACACATATTATACCTTAATATAGAAATAATAAGAAAAATTCAGAGCGAAAATATTGGGAGAATCTATGTATTTTATTGAAATTGATAAAATGATTGTTTTATTCATGATATTAGCATTCTTGCCAACTTTTTATTTCCATTATTAATATAGTTATATACCAATAGGGGTAAATATTGCTGGCTATTTTTCTTTTAGTTATTTATTTAATTTTTAATGAATAATTTTTTTATTCGCATAATTACTTTTATTCTAAAAGGTCCACAGTTTTTCTTATAATGGAACAATTTATCAAATCCAGGCAGGCCCACATCACAAAGTCAGTCATGTAATACCCAAAATAATGAAGAGTCTATTATGTGATAAAAAGAAAAAAGTAGAAAGACAATTTCAACAATATTTAATTCCATTCATGATCATGTGGTAAATGAGATCGAGGTCATCACATTGCCAGATTCTTTTACTGTGCAAAAAGCAAAATACTTGTTACTAAAATTCAAAAATAATTGAATTAAAAAAAAAAAACAAGAAAATGGAAACTTTTGACAATTAACTTGAAATGGTTACAGTGGACATCCTAGAAACTTTTTAACATAGATTGTTAGGACCTCATGGTTTTAGAAGTATTGATATTTTTGGAAACTATAAATGGTATTTAATTTAATTCAATGCAAAACTATACAGATGGAAAAGTTGATGCCAATAATATTAGAAAATTTGAAGGAGTGATGTCAAGCTATCCAAAACAAATTATACTAGGAATATTCATGACTGGTCCAAATTTACAAGGCATTCTATTTGATACATCAACAACCTACCAGTTAAATGAAACAAGATGCTTGGATTAATTGGAAAGTTTTTAGGTAGAAATTTCAAATCCACAGCATGCAAAAGTAAAACGCAAAAAGTTTTTAGATTTAGTACAAAGCTAGCATATTACTTTGGAATTATTAACTCTATATATTGTAAATGCTTTAAATTGTGAAACTACCAGCCTGTGAATTGAGTCTTTTCGGGTACGAAGATCAGTTACAAATTGGGGGCATCTGTGAATGTGATAAATATAAGCGATTGGGTGGATGGTAATATGAGACATATCAGAGGTAATATAAAATAGCATAGACAGTATATTTCGCACAAATGTATGTTATAAATAAAGGCATTCTGACCCCTCGAGAATAAAAATTTCCGGTGGATCTGATATATGGAATCTTGTATATGATTTTTACAGTATCATTAAATTGTCATATAAATCACATGAATTAATACAATAAAATATCGACACTAATTGTAAAGTTCAATACTTTTTAAATATCTGGCATGATTTGATAGATACATGGGTATCAGCAGGATAATAGTAAAAGCACATTGCAATTATATTGCCGATGACCATGATCTGTATATTGTGCCCAGATAACTAGATTATCTGGAAGGTATGATGTATACACTTACTAAAGAATTTTATATTACTTCCGCGGTTTTTATATTAAAATTAATAAGAATTTCATATAATATTTATAAAAATTTGCGGAAATAGCGTGAAATTTTTTCCGTCGGCGTTTACATAGTACCTGCCAGATAACTAATGAATTTTAATCATTTTTCAATTGAGAACAGGAAATTGCTGACAATCATACTGCGGGTTCCGAGAAATATATTTGATAAGGCCATTAAAGTAAATGACGCAATGGAAGAACGTTTACAATTTTACAATAAATATTATTAGGGCCATAGATATTTATATTGGTTGAGCTCTTAGGTTTTTAATAATAAATTGGCATATGAAATTATTCATTAATATTAAATGACTGTTTAATTCTATAGAGCTAAAGATACTCATAGCTTATATGAAGTTTTATTAAATATTACTTCGATAATACTTGCTAATATTGCTGTGAAGCAAGTACCTTTTTTATATGGAAAAGCTTCTTCATATTATTAGTTTATTTACCCCTATAAAAATACGAATGCTACAATTATGAGAATCTTATAGAAACCTCAAAAGTTTTATTAAAGTTTCATAATTTATGCTTTATAAGAAATTTGTGTTGAAATTTTTTTAAATTTTCATGATAAACTGTCAAAATTCAGTTACTTTGTTTTAGAGGCCTCCGTAAGTCTAATAAAATAATAAAATATGACATGTTTTTAACACATTTTATACTATGTTTTGAGGGACTCAATTCATATTTTCAATGTCTGCTCGTGCATGCTGGTATATCATCTACATAAAACTTACTATTTTTGTCATTTAATATTATAATAAGATTTATTTAAAAGCATAGTACTATAATTATCAGTCGTATTAAACCAGTCATTGAAAGGCGTTTTAATGAGAAAAAGAAATTAGGTTACGCCTGAATTGTTCCTGTAAGTTATTTATAAAAATTTTTTTTGATTATTACTGTGTTCTATTAATATACAAATATTCTAAGATTTTTCAATTTAAAAATAACTTCAATTTATTTGTATAATCCAGAACAGCCTAGGTCTCGATCCAAATAATGTAAATAATAACTTTATTGTTTACGCAATGTGAATGCTTGTACTTTCTGCTATATTAATTCTGCTTAATCGCATTTCTATGCTTTATATTGATAGTCATATTACATTACAGGTTTTGTATACCAATTTCGGACAATAGCAATCAAATTCAGACATTATAGCAATCAAATTCAGACATAGTAGCAATCAAATTCGGACATAGTAGCAATCAAATTCGAACATAGTAGCAATCAAATTCGGATATTCTAGCAATCAAATTCGGACATCTTGGCAATTAAATTCGAACAGCGGTATCTCGTGATCTAGTGGTCCAAATCACACGATGTTGGTACCATTCACTCGTCTTAACAAGACTAGTTGAATGGTACCAACATCGTGTGGTTTGGACCACTAGATCACGAGATATCGCTGTCCGAATTTGATTGCTACTATGTCCAAATTTGATTGCTACTATGTCCGAATTTGATTGCTGCTATGTTCGAATTTGATTGCTGTAATGTCCGAATTTGATTACTATAATGTCCGAATTTGATTACTATAATGTCCGAATTTGATTGCTATACAAAACCTGTATTTTGCATTATAAAATAGTTGAATTTTTTGAAATTTAAATTTAACAAAGGAAGAAATATTGGTAAGAATTCTATCAGAAGGCACAAAATTTAATTAACAATGTAATGGCAACGAATTAATTCTGATTAAATTGATAAAATGATGAAATGGAATAGCTTTGTTAAAGAATTTTTAAGATTAACTTTTATATACTTGATGCGTCGCATAATATGTTTGAAAATGGTTATCATGATTATTTTTTTTCAAGATTGTTAATCATTAGACCTCAAAACCATGAGAATTCATACTTTTTTTTAATTATTTAAAATCGCAGGTCATTTGGCTTTATAAACTTATGAACTTAGATATTAATAAAGATTTTCAAGGCCAGTTTCCTAAAGAATTACATGTACATCGTCATAATTCACTGCGGCAAAACTTGAACGTAATTTCTTGATCATTTTACGTAAGGTTATGTTGAAAAATACAATGTTAGTACCGAAATTGGACAAATAGTACCCAAAATATATAGTGGACCATTTATCAGGCCGTTAAAAGCTGGTATTATGTTTGAGATTTGAGAATAGATTAGTCTATAGATTGGTCTATGCAAACACAAATGTAATTTTTTTTTTTTTACCATTAATTAGAAATTATTTAAAATTTTATAAAATTTATTTAGCTACTAGCTTAATACGTACTTTCAAGAGAACCTATGTGTGATTGTTAACTGTTAAGTAAATTAAACTTTATTTTTGACTTTCTGATTAACTATTACAAAGATAATTAAAAAATGGTATTTTTATGAATTGCTACTACGTACATTACATGCAATTATTACGTACTTAGATATAATCATCAAAATTTAGATATAACATCATCATTACATCAAAATCTTTTTCACATATAAATAAGCAGTAATTTTTATACGTATATATTGATCACACCAATATTTTTTCTACCATTTGCATTTCAATTTCTGTATACACTCAGCTTATAACTCATAACTAGTAGAAAACTGTACCATCACACTACCAACGTCATTACTTCCTATTACTACCATAAATCCAGCAATGCGACCAAAACATTATTTTAATGTGAGTGAAGCTAAAAAATCCGAATCAATTCATTATATTCAAGTAAAATCAACAAGATATAAAGTTTACTCATTGTCTGAAAAGATAGATGGGAGTACGTATTATGTTATCAAATATACCACAATTTTTATTTGTAAGAATATAATAGGCGTTGGAACGTCAAGGAAATTGATACGTTTTTAACGTAACTAAGCAATTTGAGATATGGAGAAATCAATTCACCCATATTTGTTTATTCTTATGCAATAGAAATGAATTCCCTAGAGTTTTTGAATTTATTCAAGTTTTCCAGGGAACCAAACAATACTTATTTTTAAACAAATTTGGAAAAATGCTAATGCAGAAATAGTTAAAGCCCAAAAAAGTGACACTTCGAACGTAGCCACACGTGACCTATCCTTAGATCATAAAACTCGTAAAGATCAAAGGTATTCACGCTGAGGAATATTCAAGTTAATTATTCTGAAATTGAAAGTAGGAGAGTGATTTGTGGAACCGATGATAAAAAACGAGTGGATACTGTAATGATTTAAGCTTTGTTAATAATTTGTTTATGTAAATGAATTTTTTTTACCGTAAATTTTATTAATGAATTATTCACCTTTTCTAGTCATTTTGGTTTTTAATTGTCATTTAACATCTGAACACCTCAGATTAGGTTCAATAGCATTGTTATGAAAGCTATATGTAAACAACTAGGTGAGCTGAAATATACATTAAATAAACCAAATTTCGATCACTTCAAGCAATTAAATTATATAATGCATATCAGAACTGTATTTATTAGAATAAATGATTGGTATGCTTTTTTATTTAATACTTCACTATGATCAGTTTATAAAATAAATCAATTATTTTATGGTATTTTTAAATGATAAAATA